TATTGATCCATCGATCATCTGGTTGTATTGAGACCATTGACCCTCTGGGTGTACTGAGACCATCGATCCTCTGGTTGTATTGAGACCATTGATCCTCTGGTTGTATTGATCCATCTATCCTCTGGTTGTATTGATCCATCGATCCTCTAGTTGTATTGATCCATTGATCCTCTGGTTGTATTGATCCATCTATCCTCTGGTTGTATTGAGACCATCGATCCTCTGGTTGTATTGATCCATCGATCCTCTGGTTGTATTGATCCATCGATCCTCTGGTTGTATTGATCCATCAATCCTCTGGTTTTATTGATCCATCGATCCTCTGTTTGTATTGGTTCATTGATCCTCTGGTTGTATTGATCCACCAATCCTCTGTTTGTATTGATTCTTCGACCCTCTGTTTATTCATCGACCCTCCGGTTGTATAGACCAGCGGCCCTTTGGTTGAACAGTGTTTGGACAATTTTATCAGATTAATTTTTTTGATCAAATTCTTAATTAAACGACTCTTTTGTTCTACTTCGTTTATGATTTGCTTTGTACTTATAAGTAAATATAAGCTTTGGTATAATCTCACTAAGCCTTGTGGCTTAATCTTTTAGAATGAACTTTCTTTTCAGGAAAGCCGATAGCTGCCCAGGTGAAGGATTAGACGGTTTAGATCTGCTGTACGAGTATCGTTTGAGTCGGATCTAGGTATATAATACTTTTGAGTAGGTATATTTGTATTTTATGGATCCGACTTATAGTACTGAAAATCGTCTTTTGCAGACTATGTTATTTTGTCTTTTGGTGGAAATTTATAACATATATCCCGTATTTGCTTGGAGATTGTTTTATGGAAAAATTAATTGGATAAATAGTTTCTTTTATTCAAAGAGCGTAACTGATGTTACAATTATGGTATCAGAGCATGGTTTAAGCGAGCTGAATATCAGAAATGATATTTAGACTTAAACCTAAGCATTGAGAACGTATAGTAACTAAGTGATGATGATACGAGATATGGACCAATAGAAAGACCTAAGATGGATGAGGACCTAGGATTAGGAAATATAATTGATATATTTATGTGACGTTTTTAGCTCGATGTCGGATCACGACGAGGCGAGTCACACTCCACTGAACCCGAATGTCGGAGAAAATGTTCCGGGTAACACCAGTAATAATGAGAATGCTCCGATCTCCCCTCGTACCGAGAAGCTCATGAAACACATGACAGATCAGCTTCAGATGGCGTTAGAACAACAACGACGCGAATTTGAGAAACGGTTGTCAGAAGAGCGTGAACGTAATAATGCCTCAAAATCTGATGATAGAGGTAAGGGTCCAATTAATGATGATGCACCACGAACCAAAACTGAACGAGTCTCGTTTAAAACCTTCCGAAGCAGTGGAGCGACGGAATATACAGGACAATCATATCCTGTACTCGCAATGCAATGGATACAGAATACCGAAAAGGTGTTTCGGATCACTCGAGTGCCCGATGAAGATAAGGTGAAGTATGCATCCGCAATGTTCATCGATCGAGCACTGGTGTGGTGGGATAATACGTTCGAATCTCTTGACCCAATTACTCAAGAGAATATGACGTGGAAAGAGTTTCGACTTCTGACCTTCAAGAGCGCCTTGAGAAAGTATTTTTGGACCTAAAGCAGGGAAGTATGACCGTGATTGATTACGAGACTGAATTTAACCGAAAGACACGGTTTGCCCAACGGTTTTTGACTTCTGACCAAGACAAGATTGATAATTTCGTTGACGGGCTACGACGAGAAATCCGTGATTTCGTTGCAAACCATGATATTCCGAGTTTTGGTAAAGTTGTTGAATATGCTTGACACCGCGAACATGATCTGGCGATACCTGATGATACCGTTTCCACACCAAAACGGCAAAGAACTGACAGGACTTTTTTGGCGCCGTCACATAAATCATCATGACTATTTACACCGAGACGGGCGCAGACTCAGGACAAACCACGTGCTTCTTCTCAAGTCTATACGTTACGATCGAGCACACCAAAGGACTGTCGGAGGTGCGGAAAGACATACCAAGGCTGGTGTGATTCGGATAGACCTGTTGTTAAATGTTTTTGTTGCGGTGAAGCGGGTCATGTTAGGACGAAATGTCCCCAGAGAGATCTTGCATGCTTTTTCTGCGGAGTGTTAGGGCACCATAGGAAAGAATGTCCCCGTATAAAAAGGGTTGAAAGCAAAGCCTCGGTACAACAACCAGCAAGAGGGGGTACTTCAACCCAAAAGGAGGAGGTGCCCAGGGCACGAGCAAGGGTTTTCAAATCACAGCGGAGGAGGCATTGAACGAAGCGGATGTCGTAGCAGGTATTTTCCCTCTCAATAATAGACCCACATGCATTTTATTTGACTCGGGAGCCACGAATTCTTTTGTGTCGTTATATTATACTCAGTATCTTAATTCTGTGCCGGTCATGCTTGAAAAACCTTTTAATGTTGACACTGCGAACGGAGTGACACTCGTAGGTAATAAAATTTATAAAGACTGTAAATTAGAATTAGATGACCATGAGTTCACGGTCGATTTGATCCCAATGGAATAACTTTGATGTGGTAATTGGTATGGATTGGTT